TGTTATTAACTTAATTAGGGTACTCCTAAGCTGGCCTTTGCTAAAAATGTCCTCAATCTGATTGAGGTATGTTCGCTGAGGTTGACCCCTTCCAACTCTCCCATCCACACTCATCTTGTATACTTGTGTTCGTCCGACTTCTGCGCGTGGGCCACGAAGTTTCAATCGCACTGTACGTGCGCGCCCGCACGTGGTATTTTGTGGAAGAGCCACACTCAAGGGGCCAAAGAGCCGCATGTGGCTCGCGAGCTGCAGTTTGCCAACCACTGTGCTAGGCTGTGTTCTGGACGTTTTGATGATGCCTGAGCTTCAGGCTTTATACACGCAGAGGGCGCCCTGGCTGGTTTGCTCAGTGGATAGAGCGTCGGCCTGCGGACTGAAGGGTCCCGCGTTCGATTCTGGTCAAGGGCACATGCCTGGGTTGCAGGCTTGATCCCCAATAGGGGGCATGCAGGAAGCAGCCAATCAATGATTCTCTCATCATTGATGTTTCTATCTCTCCCTCTCCCTTCCTCTCTGAAGTCAATAAAAATATATTTTTAAAAATACATGCAGAGCGCTAGGCACAGGGTGGTAGCTCAATAAACGGTAGATACAAGCCATTGATGATTATGGTTCTCTGCGTTAATCTAAGTTCACGCCAAGGAAATTCTACACATCACCACCGGGGGGCGCCGCAGCGCCTCCTCCTGACCGCCGCTCCTCCCTGGGCTGTGGTGGGTGGCTTAGGTGGCTTTCAGTATCTCCTGGAGGGAAGCATGGGGCTCATCAGGGGAGGAATATGGCCAAAGGGTCTTGGGCAAAGAGAACAGTGAAGAGAGGGACAGCGACGTTTCCCCTGATTAAAGATTTACCCAGAGTGCTTGTCTGCCCCTCACATGGAGGTCGGACACCACCCCTGCACCCCGGAATGCCCCACAGTGCTGAGTGGGTGGAGGAGACGGCCTCCCAGAACATTCTGCAGGGAAAAGGGTCGGGGCAGCGGGGCCCTGGGGGCCAGGGGCATGGCTTGGGGCTAGCCACGCAGTGGGAACTTAGGGGAGTGCTCCCAGGTCCAGGGACCCGGCAGGAGCTGGGAGGGGGCGTACTGTGTGGCTGTGGCAACCCCGCTTGAAGGAACCTTTCCTTGGACCTAATCACGGGGTTCCAGTCACACCCATGTTGTGATCTGGGTCCCAGTGATCCACTGGGTAACACCATGATTTAAAGAAGGCTTTCCTGTTCCGTTTGCTCGGAGTTAGATATCGGGGGGCTTTCCCACCCCATTTTATCACGAAAACTTTCAAACACACAGCAGCTTTGAAAAAAAATTTCCACGAACACCCGCATACTCACAGCCTAGATCTGTCGTTAACATGTTACGCTCGCCGTTTACCACACACATCCATGTACATCTAAAGGCTTTAATCCCATCTTATTTTTTCTTTCTATTTATAGCTGGTGTCTGGAAGTTTCCATTGGCCCCAAATCTAGGTGAAACTTGAAGGCAATGGGTTGGTGAGGCAATAGAGTCAAAGTTTCAGGCCTGTCATGGTCTGTCCAAATTGCTTTTACAAAATCCGCCCTGCGGCTGTCGCAAGCAGCAGGGTGAACTGAAGCCCGCCTTCGGGGCCCTGAAAGGGGGCCAGTGCTCCCAAGGGTGCCCACCCCCTCCCGCTGCGCCCCCGGCCTGGCCTCTGCCCCATCCAGCCGGGGCCTCAGGGGCACCATTTCCATCTGGTTCCCCTCCCCATCTGTTCTAGTGTCTGCCATCTCTGACTGGGCCAAACATTTGACCACAGAAATTTCTGGACACCAGGAAGCAGACAGAAACAGTCTGTCCCTCTCCCTTTAATCCCCGTGGGTTACAGAATACAGGCCAAGCCCGGGCCAGGTTCCGCCCACCCATCTTTCTGCCATTAGTGGGCTTCTGGGTGACCCCACAGAGCCGGGGCTCACAGGGCACAGGGCTCCCCTGGCGAGGGGCTGGGCAGGCCCTGTGTGGACACTGGGTGACATTTCCCTCGAGGCTGGAGGAGGAGGGGAAGGGAGGGTGTGCCGACCGCCTCTGTTACTATCCTTGGGGAGGAAAGGGTGCGCCCAGCCTACCTTTCCTTTGTCTTCCTTGAGAAACAAAGGGACGGCTCCCTGGAAAATCCCCGACAGACACACAGCCCCCAACGTGCAGTCAGGCAGGCCCCTGGAAGTCAAAGGCTTTGCAAGGGACTGCAGGCGTCCCGTGCACTTGAAGTGAACGTGAACATGCACTCCTTTGTTATTAAAACAAAACACTAAAGCCCCAGCCGGTGTGGCTCAGTGGATAGAGCCTCGGCCTGAGGACGGAACGGTCCCACATTCAATTCCTGGTCAGGGCACATGCCCAGGTTGCAGGCTCGATCCCCAGTAGGGGGTGTGCAGGAGGCAGCCGATGAATGATTCTCTCTCATCGTTGATGTATCTCTCTCTCCCTCTCCCTTCCTCTCTGAAATCAATAAAAATATATTTTAAAAATGTGAAAAAAAAATCCAAAACCAACCCACCCTTACTTTTTGAAAACCCCTACTCAAACCCGTCATCTCCTGGGAGCACCCCAGGCGGTGGTCCCTTCCTCCTCTCTGCGCGTGCGTGACCTCTGTGGCGCTCAGATGCCTCCTGTCACAGTGCTCTCTCACTCTGTCGCCCCCACTCCCTGGGGACAGGGACGTGCTGTGTGGTCACTCTGGCCTGCCCGACACTTGCACCAGTGCCTGCCACTGGCAGATGCTCAAGAAACGCTTATGAAACGGCGTGCTGGCATCCCGGTGTGTGCAACGCGGGCCCGCGCTCACAGACCTGTTCCTGAGTTCGCTGTGCCGCCGATCACGGTCCACCTCACGCTCTGCCATGTCACCCTCATTCCCCCAAAGGTGTGTCCGGTTTGCCCGGCCGGCGTGGCTCAGTGGTTGAGCATCGACCTATGACCCAGGAGGTCACAGTTCGATTCCTGGTCAAGGGCACATGCCCAGGTTGCAGGCTCGATCTCCAGTGTGGGGCGTGCAGGAGGCGACCGATCAACGCTTCTTTCTCATCATTGATGTTCCTACCTCTGTCCTCCCTTCCTCTCTGAAATCAATAAAAATATATATTTTTTAAAAGGAGTTTCGGGTGCCCACCGTGCACCAGGCCGAGTCCCGAGGGCACAGAGACGAGGCAGCCGTGTGCCATGGAGCGTTCCTGACGCTGGCACAGGGTGGTCAGGCCGGCCCTGGGGACCCGGGCCGGCTGGGGGCGCGGCACAAAGCACGCCCTTCTCATCTCCACCCCCAGGTTTCAGAAGCTGGAGAACAAGGTGAAGGAGAAGGAGCACTGGACCCGGCTGCGGCGGTACTCGCTGTTTCTGCAGAGAGAGAGCATCAGGAAGTGACCGGGCCACGGCCGGCTCCCGGGGAGGTGTCGGCAGCAGGCAGCCCGGAGGCCCCGAGGTGAAGAGACACGGCGACAAAGGGCCCAGGGGCCTGGACTTGCGGCCTGGGACCCCCGCAGAGCCAGCAGGGGGAGAGGGACTATTTTGGGGGGTTTCAGTCACGATGCCGACTGTCAAAGCCCTCGGGCGGGCAGGCAGCTGTGTCACCCAAATAAATTGTGATATTGTTTCAGCTTCCAGGGTGGTGTGGGGTGTAGCCCTCTGCTCCCACCCAGGCCCGGCCAAGCGGGGCCCAGGCCTGTGAGGACCCCTGCCCGACGGACAGCCACTCCCGCCCCAGCTGCGGTGTGGCCCCCCTCTTCTCCACCCGCTTCTCGTCCCACGGTGCTGCCTCATAACGGCATGGAACCGGCCTGGGGAGGCTCGGGCTCAGAGTGGGGAGTGACTGCCTGAGCTCACACAGACGCGAGAGGCAGAGGAGCCAGGCGAGGTGGCAGGCGGGGACCGGGCCATGCTGCCCCTCGCCTGCTGGCCCAGGAACCCGGGGGGCCCAGGAGAGGGGCAGAGGGGCACCTTTCTCTTCTCTAAGAAACTGCCTTCCCAGGAAAACTGGATGGTGTCCGCAGCTAAAGGGCTACGCCCGCCTCTCTGAGGACACCGTGTGGTGCCTTTGAGAACTGCAGGGGTTCCGGAGTCCCGTCTCCATGATAATCTGCCCACAGACGGCAAGCAGGTTTTTATTAATTGTTTTTTAAATATATTCTCATTGATGTCCATGATAATCTGCCCACAGACGGCAAGCAGGTTTTTTGTTTTGTTTTGTTAAATATATTTTTATTGATGTTAGAGAGGAAGGAAGAGAGCGATAGAAACATCAATGATGAGAGAGAATCACCGATCGGCTGCCTCCTGCACGCCCCCCACTGGGATCGAGCCCACAACCTGGGCATGTTTCCTTGATCAGAATCGAACCTGGGACCCGTCAGTCCACAGGATGATGCTCTATCCACTGAGCAAAACCGGCTATAGCAAGCAGGATTTAAAAAATATATATATATATGTTCTTATTGATTTTGAGAGAGAGAGGGAGAGGGAGAAGGAAAAGGAGAGGGGGAGAGAGAGAGAGAGAGAAACATCAATATGAGAGAGGAACATCCATTGGTTGCCTCTTGCACGCACCCTGACCAGGGATGGAGTCTGAAACTTGTGCCCTGACGAGGAATTGAACCGGCGACCTTTCGGTGCATGGGATGACGCTCAACCCACTGTACCACACTGGCCAGAGCGTGACGGCAACTTCTTATGTATCCCCACCTCCCTCCTCCCCTGGGTCACACACTTGCTCCTTGTTGGCGGGACACCTCCCCACGATGCTGGATGCTCCTCTTCCTCTGCACCCCAACCAGGTTCATGGTGTGACCCTGGTATGTCCTTGAGTAGGATCGGCTTAGCTGCCCCTCCTTAGAACACTGGCCCACCCGGCCGGTGTGGCGCAGTGGTTGAGCGTCGACCTCTGAACCAGGAGGTCACTCGGTCAAGGGCACATGCCCGGATTGCGGGCTCAGACCCCAATGTGGGAGCCGGTCAATGATTCTCTCTCATCACTGATGTTTCTATCTCTCTCCCCCTCTCCCCTCCTCCCTGAAATCAATCAAAACATATTTTAAACAAACAGCAACACTGGCCCATCCAGCACCAGCATCTACACGGCACAGCTGTCCCAGCAGGAACCTGTGGTCGACACGCAGACGCACGTTTCCTGCCCACGTGCACGAGGAGCTTTATTTTACACCCGAGACACACGCATGCACACACGCATGCACACACACGCACGCGCACTTGCCTGCCAGGGCTGTGCCGAAGACCGGATTGGTCACCTACCTCCCATCCTCCTCCCCACCCCAAACGCCATATACTGGTTTCGTGAAAAATTCCTTAACCTTCCTCATCCCGATCTGTGAAATAGCGCACACCACCTGCCTCCCCCGGCTCTGAGGCTCAAATGACTTGAAATCAGATGGTGGATTTCAGATCTGACGCACAGCGCCAGGCCCACAGTCACTGGCCTACCAACGTTCGCTTCTCCATCACGTGAGTTCGAACCTGTCAGGCTGTGCAAGTGCTGTGACGAGGTGACCAGGGTCAGCCCGGCCCGGCGGCACCCTGTGCTGATGCTGTCGCTCTCTTTCCCACCATCCAGACCAGGGCACCCTGCCCAGGGCCCCGGGTGAGGTGAGCCGCCAGCCAGCTCTCAGCTATCACAGAGGCAGCGCACCTGTGAGTAATCACAGGCTCTGGAGTCACATCTGGGGCCCAATCCCAGGGCCACCACTGAACATCTGTATGAACACGGTATCAGCCTCTTCTTTACAGCACTTTTTAAAAATACATATTTTTATTGATTTCCGGGAGGAAGGGAGAGAGAGATAGAAACATCAATGATGAGAGAGAATCACTGATTGGCTGCCTCCTGACCCCCCCCTACTGGGGATCCAGCCCACAACCCGGGCATGTGCCCTTGACTGGAATCGAACCTGGGACCCTTCAGTCTGCAGGCCAATGCTCTATCCACTGAGCCAAACTGGCCAGGGCTTCCTTACTGCACTTTGCTACCCTTTAGCTAGGGCTCACCTCACAGATTAGCTGAGAAATGAGAGCATGCGACAACGGCTCACCTACCTGGGTGCTGGTGACCGTCCTGTCCCTCTGGGTGGGCACGGCTCACCTACCTGGGCACTGGCGTCTGTCTCCTCTTTCTGAACAGGCATCAGGGCTTCCGCAGGTTCCGTGCGGCTGGCCCAGGAAGGGGTGGGGACGACAAGCGGTGGGAGGTGATCCCGTCTCATCTCCTGCCCTCCGTCTAATTAGCAGAGCCCTGTTAATGAGAACCACACTCAGGCGCTAATAAACGGCGGGAGGCCCCCAGCTCTGAGAGGCAGCAGAGGCCCTCCGCGGGGGAGGGGCCGGCCAACAAGCCCCACTTATCTGTGAAAAGACTTGCTAATAACTTTAATTCCCCCTCCCACCCTGCGGGGCCTTTGCCATGCAAATAGACTTTCTAAACCGGGTAGGATCCTGGAGAAAACGATGTCCCATCCCCCCAGCTTAGGGTCCTGGGAGGGGAGAGTGACAGGGGTGGG